AGTAAAACGCGACACTTGAAAGTCTCTCTACGCTTGGAGAGCACTTTGTACACACACATTTCATTCGACACACACGTTTGCCTAATTTCCCGTATCATTCCGAGAGAGAGTGACACTCACCTACACTCAAGAGCCATATACACATTTGAGGGTGATGTGTGGAGATTAGGGCATACGACGAATAAAACCAAGCACATAACAAGTCAAAGACTTCAAAATCTCCCTTATATACTATTGTTTGGCATATTTTAAATTGCGGGCATGCCAAAGTTCGAATGGAATTAGATTCAAAATCTTATGACCTTACCTACATGAACTAGCGTCAGGTTCTAAAATCATGACTGTCTAGGCAATTGAAACGAAGCATAAGGCTACCTCAAGATTCTTTTCTTTACCTTAGAGACCAAGGACTTAAAAGTTTCTTTCGTAGCAAGTAAACAAACTAGAAATTGAAAATAGACTTGGACTGAAAAAAAAAAGACATAAATGTAAACAACAAAGAGGAATTGTGGTATGAACTACTATATTGAAATTAAACATAAGGGAGATCACTTGAGTGACAATTATGTAGTAAAAGCAAATGAACAAAAATAAACTAAATAGTGTAGATCAGTTCTCTGTTATGTTGTCTACGCATGTTGATCGAGAGATATTTACTTTGTAGCTTGTGCCTCTATATTTATAGGTGGTGGCTCTCAACTGTTGGAGCCATCTTTTCTGACCAAGAACCAGAATCCATGGCCTCTTCTTCTAGTGACAGTGATCATGCATCGAACCATCTACAACCATTGGTCACAATGTCATGTCTCCCACACCTCTTCATTATCCAAGTTCCATGGAGACCTTTTCCTCTTAACCATCTTATACCCTTGGACCTTCTCTGACTCTATCTTATCCATTGGACCTTGCCACATATCGTTCCTCAAATTTTTCAATATTTGGGTGTAAACACTGCTGCACACCCCCCCCCCCCCCAAAAAAAATGACGCAACAAGATGCTACTTATTCGAAGTGTCATTTTGGTTCTTTTAAAGTGAACTCCTACCGCCTTAATGCCTCTACTTACATGTCACCTCAAGATAGGCTACACTGCTCAACACATGCAATTCATCTTCCACGTGTAAGCTCTCTATCTTTTTCCATCTTTTCAAATCTGCAGGAAACTACTGGAACACAATCTGTTCATATCTTCTCATCATTACAATGATTTGCTTATTGTGCCTAACTTGATTTTGTCATCATTCTAATTCTTCATCCCCTCTTTCTCTTGCTATGTAAATCCCTCATGCTACTTCTCTTTAGAAAACACTTGCAAAGGTTCCTTCTCGTAAAATCAACCTTCATACATTCATTTTTGAATCTGGCACTTCTTCATTAGTGAGGGACCTTGGTCATATTTTCACCATATTTCCTTTGATTGTTGTTTGTCTATAATATCCGGCATCACATGAACCTCTTTCATTCAAATTTAAAGAATGTTTGCAATAGTCTAAGAGGATTTCGTGGGTTGTACTTTCTAAGATGGCGAAAGGGCGGTTGTGGAAATGATTAGGCATCAGCAATGCCATAGAAATTAGTACCATCAACATTCCCATCTATAGACCTTTAATCTACTTGACTCTCTTGTTCTGGTCTATGGTGGACAATGCCTTTCACTTTTGTTGTGTCATGATGGATCTAAGGAGTTACCAAGTATGAAAGAGTCTCCTTTCTGTCTGTCTCTCCAAGTTTTGACTACTGAGTAAAACTTCTACTATTCAATCATATAATCGATTCCGAGCAAGCTGTACACTCCCTATATTATTAGTCAAGTGCTAATGAGCAAGAAAAGGCTCCTTAGATAGGGTGTTAGCTCTTTAGTTTGATTACAGCTAGCTGTTGTCCGAATTTGATATTGACAATTTACGTGCAAGTATACACGATCAACAAGTAATAAAGTGATAAGTAGAGTATCGTTTCCACGGAGAATTATTACAACTAATTTCCAAGTACTAACTTTATATCAATTCAATTTTATTTAAACAATTGGAATTGAACTATTGAAATTACTAATTTAAAACTAAATCTAAACTTAATAATCAAGGGTTGAATTTACCAAATAAAAGAATTTAAGATTACAACTTCCCCTAATGCTTCGTATAAATCTTTCTAACTCTCTTTCCAATTAATTGATCAAAATAAGTTGTTAAGTGAGAACTCAAAATTATTTATTAAACATCTTCCAATAGTTAGATAAAAATATATCTCCCAATTAATTTACTATATTCCTATGTAAAATAATTTGGATTAGATTCATTAAGTTCAAACTCTCATAAAAGTTACACACAACATACAGGTATATTCCTATCCTATACACAAACCCAGCAATTCAATCCTAAGAAGAATTAACCAGATGCATGTCATCGTATTCAGATCTAAACCTATAATTCATTTCCCAATTTCATCTAAGTTATCAAATTAATTTTTGGCCACACAATAATATATTAAGCACAAAATATGACAAACAACTCTTATATGATCAATAAAACTAGAAATGAATGTAGATCAATTTAACTAAACATCAGGTTCCGTTGCAATCTTAATAAGAATTTATTTCATAATGTAATTGAAAAACATCCTTCTCAAATTAAGCAACATCTCAGAAAATCAAGAAATAAAAGTAAGAGAAAAGAATGAAAACTTGGTTGCAATCTTCAATCCTTCTCTAGCCTTCAAGTCCAATCTTCTTCGTGTCGATTCCTTCGATCCTTGTCTTCAATTTTATTTTAATCCTTGGTCTTTTATTATGTTAGCAGTCCCCAAAATCAATCTATATCCATTCCAAATCAAACTCTAGCATATAAAACCCACTCATCATTAGCACGTCTATTTTCTTTTCTTTCTCAAAGTCAAGTTTCTCACTTGTTACTCAAGCTTTGAAGCCTCTACGTTATTATATGTTGGGATATTTGAAGAAGAACAGGTTTGGAACCCTATACAAATGGCTGGTCTCAATCTCGCTTGGTGGTGCCCATTTAGATGATTTTTGACTCAACATTGATTTTGTGCTTGAGTTGAAGGGGGAGCCCTCCATCGATCGAATCAAGTAATTTGATATCAAGAGAGGGAAGAGCCTTTACTTTAGGTTAGGCTAGTATTCTCATTCACACAAGGGTAAGAGAGAGTTGACCATTTACTGTTAGTAGAAGCAGTACAATAGGAGTAGGATATTGAATAACAGTCAATCAAAGAAGCAAGGGATGAGCCTTTCCAGATGATCGATAAAGGTTCGACAAATTCCTATTACCGGTATAGTACTCGAACGAAAGTAAGGCAAAATGCTTCCTTTGAAAGAAGCACAAGTGAAACGATACCTAGATCTGATTGAGAAATTACAAACAATGTTGCTTAGGTTACATTGGCAATATGTAATTCAACCATTTTCTTCTATTTTTGACATCGATGCCCTCCTTGGCCTTTCTCTTTTTGGGGCTGAGGTCATCACTCTTCTTTCATATAGAAAAGCCTAGCGTTGTCCACTCAATCCTCAAGGCATACCAATCCTGGACTATTCTCACTTTCTTATGGCATCTCACATTCCAGATGGTTTAGAATTCATAGATACTAAGCACATTTATTTCCTCCTTTACTAGCTCAATCATTTTTTTATGTGTTTCTTCTTGCAAAATAACAAAGGAGTACATTTTTCTGGTCATCAACTTGTTCCCCGGAGCTTCCTATGGCTTGACCCATGTTTGTTTGCCCACCTTTACTGTGGTATATCTGAGACAGTTGGCACCAACATGTAAAAAGGTGTTGGTCCCCTCTAGGTTCTCCAATTTTGGCTTCGTGCCTACTTTACGGAGCTATTTTTCACTCCTCACAATGATTGTAACATCACTTATGGTCGGCTTTACGCCACAATGCCCTACAAGGAACAAACGTTTGCTAAATGTTTTGACTTCTTCTGTGAGCAAGCCAATTCACAGCGTATGTGGATGCCATTTTCTTGCAATTGCAACCCTAAATGGTCTCTTTACTACCCAGGAGAAGCACCTTATGACCAATCTGCTCAGCATGCAAATCATTGGTTTTCCCATCTCTTTCCCGGGGATTTACATGATGGCCTTGGGCCCTTAACTAGTCTCAATTTTCACTATGGCGTGGAAATTTATATGACTTAATAGTTTGCACACCAGTTTCGCTTGGTCCAACACGTCCCCCATCTTTTTGCCACCACTTTTAATACTAAGCTTATCAATCAACCTATTATTATTCTGCTATGATTTGAAAATCTCCCCGCCTTACTCAATAAACTATCAGTCTTTCCACATGGTCCCTTTGAAGGCTGTGTTTGACATCATCGAGCTATTCAAACCATGGTGGGAATGTTATGTTTTCAAGTAGTTTGGAGATGATTTACCCACCTCTCTTTAGTAAGTGAATTTTCTAGCCCACCTTCCACACTCTCCAAGGGTTGGCTCTGCACAAAACTCTCTTTCACCCTCTGCTAATGAACTAGCCCCCTAAATAAATCCTCTAGTGGAATTGGATCTCTCATCCTCCACCAGCTCACCTTCTCTTCCTAGTTCATGGCCTAGAGAGAAACACTAAAGGCCAACCAGTAATGTGACTGACCCAAATGTAGAGGCTCAAATCCACGATGATCAGGTGGCAAATGATGCTCCTCTTGTCTTCCATGTACATCATTACAGTGGGAATCCTTTACTTCTACTTCTACCCTCATTCCTATTGATCCATTGTAGGATGGCATCTTTGATGGTCTTGAACTTTTGAGGTCGACCTCCAAATCTATTTTGTTAGAATCCACTACAGAAGCTATATCTTTGGCTTTTCCCTCCAATTATCTCGAAGAAATAGTGGTAGAAACACTAAGTTGTTGAGGTCCTATATCACTTTAATAGCCTAAGAGGTTAGTGAGGCTCCTGTGCAAAGGCTGCAAATCAAAGGCAATATACCACGCCTTTTCAAGCCTCGACCTCTTCTATAGAGTCTAAGCTTCACTCCTTGATGGCATCTCTGAGAGCCCGCCTTAGCTTTGGTCCAGTTTCCTTCCAAAAATTGGAATGGATCTTAGATCTTGACTTTGAGGACGATCGTGGAGCAATGAAGTTGATTATGGATAGCCATCTAGGCGTCATATTGGAAGAACTGGATCTTATTCTCAGCTTCAAGCTGGCAGAACTCTTTTTGTGTTCCCTTTTCTTATGGCCAAAGATTGTCAAATGCTAGCCCAACTTGCTAATGAACTTTCTGTGCTTTTTTAAGAGGCCAAGCCTTTGTATCGAATTACCTTACTATTGTTAATGGCCAAAAGGACATGCTAGTTGACTTGAAGTTTCAATTGGCCAATTCGCTAACCTCTATAGCCAGTAAACGTTGTGCTATAAAAAAATCTCCTTAGTTGATCATCAAATTGTAGAGCTCAAATCCTGCCATGTGGCCTTGCTAGAGGAGGCCGCTTCCTTTGATGAACATTTTGAACAACTAGAGGCCGTTACTCATAACATTGTAACCCATATTGCCAATACTCTTGATCAAGCCAACTCTACCATGGTAGAACTTAAGGCCATTAATGAATCTTTTTTTTTTGTTTGTAGGTCCTCTTCAGTAATCTTGTACGGCCTTTTGAAAAGTAATAAATAGAGTTGGACCTTTTTGTCCCTTTGCTTAATTGTCCATTTATTTTGTTCATGTTTTCTTTGTCTACATGACTATTGAATGGACTATGATTTAACTGACATTTAATACCACTAAATCATGCATTTTTCATTTGGGCCTTTATGCATGAACATAGCCAACCTTTATGCATTAAATGTTGATGTTTCACCTCCTACGCCTTAAATCACCATAAATGTTGGCAGTTTCCAATATGTGGTCATTAATGTCTTATGACATTTGCTTAGCCTATAAACTCTTTAGAATTGCACAAATTCCAGACACAATAATTCTTTCCCATGTATTGAATACTTGGCAACAAAAGGTGATGATGTTCATGATTATCAAACCCTTTCCCCTTCAATCTGAAGCCTCTTTGTTCCTCTTATTTTCTTCCTTAACATATGTCATTGGTTTTACCAAAATACTTTACATATTTCTCAAAGATAGGTGCCACACTGCATTAGCTTCCTTTGGTCATGCTGGGGGGGGGCAAATATTTGCTAGAGGTGCCATGGATCGATCAATTGTGCCAGATCTAAAGGAATCTAGAGTAGGCTTTGCATTTGGTTTCTGGTGCATCTAACAATCCTTTTACATGAGTTCCCTCTTTTGGCTTCCCATCATCATGATGAGGAATGTTATAGTGGTGTGCATCTCTTAGCTGGAATGGAACGGAGAGGTGAGAAAGCTTTTCATTATGGAGGAGAGCCCTTGAAGACGTAATTGTCATCATACTCCATTTTCATGTTCTTCTCCTGAGCTTGTTCAAAGATTCCTCCTTCTCCTACTCCCTTCTTTGTCTCCAACGATCAATTTGTCATCTTCAAACCAAGACATGCATCCTTTAGAAAGGTTTATGTTTGCATTGAATGTTTCTTTATTTTATTCACCAATTGTACCACCTAAAAATTTATAAAAAAAAATTTATGAATAAAACTGCAACTTCATTTATTATGTATCCCCTTTTAACTTTTACTTCATATTTGCACAAAAGCTTATTGCTAGGACATGTATTATAATTGTCATTAGCCTTGACTGGCTGGCTACGCCGTTTACATTTATTGGCTTTCTTCATTCTGTATGACCTTCCATACCGTTGGTCGATAAGCCTTTAGGAATTGTTCATTAATATAATGACTCTAAGTCTCTCCATTTAAGTCTTTTAAATGGTAAACAGCTCCCCTCTTTTCTTCAAAGATTTCAAATGGCCCTTCGTAGTTGTTAGACCATTTGCCTAACTTTGAGTTCAATGAGCATTGCCTCATTATACTCCAGAGGCCTTAGGTTATGTTGAAAACAAAATGTTCAAGACTTTACAATAATCTCCACGGGTAAAACCGAATCGTATTCAGAAGACAATTTGAACGGTGTGATCCCAATACTTAACCGTTTGGATGTCCTATAAGCCCACAATGCTTCGAGCAATCTTGTATCTTGGGTTGTCTTCTACCATTTTGGCAATGATCCCTTTCAAGGTTTTGTTATTAGACTCTGCCTAGCAGTTTTTCTACATATAGTTTGGGGTCGAATGAATGATACTAAATTCATATTCTTCTACAAACCCCTTGAATTCACTTTATGAAAAGACTATACCTTGTTTTGCCACTATGTATCGAGGAAGTCCAAAATGGTGTATTATATTGTCCTTCAGCATTTGGATAACGTCGACATGACTGACCGTTCTCATTGGGATGGTTTCAACCCACTTTTTATAATAGTCGGTGCTAAAATAATGAAGAATGTGACCTTGTTGATGGAGAGAAGATTTTTTCAATTAAATCCATGGCCCATGCTCAAAATGGCCAAGGCTTTACCGATAGATGAAATTATAACGGTGGCACCCTTTGATTAGGACCGTGCCATTGGCATGCCAAACAACCTCTCCTATACTCGATGTAATCTTTTAGGATGTTCTGCCTGTAATAGTAGTATCTCCTTATAAGCCACCACATTTTTATGCTGGCCTGATGGATCCCGCATATGCTTTGTTGGCTTTCGGTCTGTACTAACATCATCTCCTCTTTACTGATGCATCTTATAAGAAAATCGTTGTGTACTCATTTCTTATAAAATTTCTCATTCACAAGTATGTAGTTAGCATCTCTTTTTCTTATAGCCTACTAATATTCACCTAGGTCCTTAAGGAATTGTATGATCCTATATCTCCAATCTTCCTCTTCAATTTTAACAATTAACTCTTCCAACTCAATTTCCCTTGTTTTAATGGATGGCAGCACCCTTATTTGGACCTTTATTAGTTGCTCATCCATGCCTTGTGGAATTCTTAAATTAGGTCCTACCTAGGCCAAGTTATTTACTGGCCCATTTAGCCCACTTGGGATGGGCCACAACATGACATCATCAAAATTTGACAAGAGAGATGTTGTGATCGTGCAGCAATTATGGTGAATAGTAAGGAATCAAACAATTAAGAAAGCAAGAGAAAATAACACACAGAGATTTATGTGGTTCAGCAATGTGCCTACATCCACGAGAGCGAGCGGTCGTTCTTTTTCATTATTTAAAGTAGGGTTATATCTCAAGTATTTATATAACCCTAATATAGACATATTTACAAAAATACCCCTGTACCGTACTACGGGGGCATTGCCCCCGCACCCCCAACTAATCAGCATCCCCTTTATACAAATGCCCTCGTAGGCTCCATTCTGCCCGCTCCAGCATCTGCCTGCTTGTCATTATGCACACATCAGTATATGAGCCACACATACTCTAACAATCTCCACCTTGGCAAATATTCATCCCTTAGGAGAAAAAGAGGACATGTATTCGGGAACTCCACCGGGGACGTGGAGTTGAGGCATCTCCCATCTAGCAACTAGAGACATTAATCAAGTCCAAGCAGTGCTTGAACTTGTCTGTAGTAATAGGCTTTGTCAACATGTCTGCTGCATTTTCAGAACTGTGAACTTTCTCAAGTAATAGTTCACTAGAAGAAACCAGTTCTCTGATCTTATAAAACCTCACATCTATATGTTTGGTCCTCGCATGATACACCTGGTTCTTTGCCAAATAAATGGCACTCTGACTGTCACAATGCAATTGAACTCCACCTTGCTGGGCACCTAGCTCCTTGACTAAACCTGTAAGGCACAAAGCCTCTTTGGCAGCCTCAGCTACTGCCATATACTCTAACTTAGTAGTAGATTGTGCAACTATAGGCTATACCATGGACTTCCAACAAATAGGTCCTCCCACAAGAGTAAACACATAACCTGTGGTAGACCTCCTGTCATCCAAGTCCCCTACATAGTATGCATCCACATATCCCATAACAGAAGGGTCACTCTGTTGTCTGCTAAACATGATGTCATAGTCTGTAGTGCCCCTCAGGTATCTGAAAATCCACTTGACTGCATCCCAATGCTGTCGACCTGGATTTGAAAGAAACTTGCTAACCACGCTGACAGCTTGTGCCAAATCTGGTCTTGTACAAACCATAGCATACATCAAACACCCCACTGCACTAGCATATGTGACCTTTGACATGTCATGAACTTCATCATCTGTCTTCGGGCACTAAGCGGTAGACAATCTGAAATGATTCGCCAAAGGTGTACTTACTGATTTTGCAAAACTCATGCTGAACCTGTCCAACACCTTCTCAACATAGCTATGCTGAGATAGCCATAATCTCCTGGAAGCTCTGTCCCTGCGAATCTCCATCCCAAGAATCTTCTTGGCCGCACCCAAATCCTTCATGTCAAATTCNAGACACTGAGCGGTAGACAATCTAAAATGATTCGCCAAAGGTGTACTTACTGATTTTGCATAACTCATGCTGAACCTGTCCAACACCTTCTCAACATAGCTATGCTGAGATAGCCATAATCTCCTGGAAGCTCTGTCCCTGCGAATCTCCATCCCAAGAATCTTCTTGGCCGCACCCAAATCCTTCATGTCAAATTCTCTACTCAACAAAGTCTTCAACTTGTTGACCTCACTCATACTCTTGGCAGCAATCAACATATCATCCACATAAAGTAACAGAAAAATAAATGAATCATCATCAAGCCTTTTTACATAGACACAACAATCATACTCACACCTTTTGTAGCCAATTCGGATCATGTAAGAGTCAAATCGTTTGTACCACTGCCTCGGAGACTGCTTCAGCCCATAAAGTGATTTCTTCAAATTACAGACCAAATGTTCCTCTCCAGGGAGACTGAACCCTTCTGGCTGTACCATGTAAATCCGTTCCTCCAAGTCGCCATGAAGGAAAGCTGTCTTTACATCCATCTGCTCCAACTGCATATCTGAATGTGCTACTAGTGCCAACACTGTCCTGATGGAAGTGTGTCTGACCACGGGGGAGAAGATCTCATCATAGTCAACCCCTTTTCTCTGTGAGTAACCCTTTGCTACTAGATGAGCCTTGAATTTTTCTCCCTCCTTTTCTGATACTGCTTCTTTCTTCTTATACACCCATTTGCACCCTATT